TGAAGCACAGGTTTCATACATCCATACATTCAATCAAAGCCACCAGCCTTCCAGAAGTTCAGATGTCTTACCTGGAACATGATCCTGTACTGCTCCTCTGGACGTTTGACCACACACATGTTGCAGCCCATGATGCCGTCTCTTGTCTCTCAGCCTCTTTATCTTTACGGTTCCTTCTGTTCGGTTTCTGCAGGAATCACCTGCCGCTCGGCGCCGATAATCCAGAACATCTGCTGACCTCCAGACGACGTCCTCGGGTCGGTCGGCCTCCAAAACCTTTTACTTTACAAAAATCAGCAGGTTTCAGGTGAACTTTAAGCCAAACTGGAGCGACCTCTGTGATCCTCGTTGACAGAGATTCATGCTTCTTCTTCTTCTTGGCGAGAAATCTTTAAAAATCTGTTTATTTAAAAAGTTCTGGTCAGAATCTTCCAGGCTATCGTTAGCGTAGCATCCTGTCAGCTGTGATGTCCTCGAAAACGTAGCAGAAAAACCCCAAAGTGCTTCAGCGAGTCTCTTCAGAAGGAGCTGTGGAGCTGATAGCGCCGCTCTGATGGAAAACTTCCAGTTTATCTTCTGTCGCTCTGAAGACAAAAGAAAAACCCACTCCTGTGTTTTCTGAGCGTTTTAAAACAAAGATGAAGCGGCGGACAAAAGGAGGAGCAGCTCTCAGAAGACAAACGGCTTTTATGTGGAGTCCTGCAGCTTGTCAAGAAGAAGCTTCAAACTGATGGAGCGCAGCAGCAACACTTCAGTTTGATGTTTCGTGTCTCGTTCAGCAGGTTTTCTTCTTCGGCTGCTTCAGCTGGAGCTAACATGAGGACTGAGTCTGATGTGAGCTCGTCTTTGTGGCTCTTTACAGCTGAACGGCAGAAAAGACGGTTTTCTGCTATAAATGCGTCATATTTAAAACCAAATGCAGCTTTTCTCTCTTTGTGTTGAGTCAATGTGAGAACTTCTCCTAAAAGTGATGCAACATGCAGCTCACATGAGCAAAGGAAGGAGATTTGAACTCATGTCCTGTTTGTTCTTTTCTGTTGTTTTCTTTAATAAACTGACGAACGTCTCAGAACTTCATCAGAACTTCTGACCTGAGGCAGCGACGTGCAGCTCAAACATGTCGTTCAGCTTTTCTCTCTCAGCTCTTCATCACATTTGATCGTTTCTCTGGAAGTGATGCACAAACGTCTGCAGCTCAGACGGTGAACCAGACGAACGGCGTCCAGGTTCTGCTGCTTCTGGTTCGGTTCTGAGGAAAGTCCACAAAACGTTAACGTGTCACATTTAGAGTGAACATATTAGAACCAGAGTGTTTCCTCACCTGCTCCTGACAATAAGACAGTTTAATTTAATTCAATGCAAATGTTTAGAAAACGTTCTCCTGAGGTTTGTTCAAAACTGTAAACAAACGTAGAAAAGCTTTTTGTTTGTGCTTTAAAATCCCAGAAACCCGAATCATCAGTTCCTTTAACTCTAAAGAGCAGAAACGCGTCTTTATCTGAGATTAGAAACGTTTGTTCTTCGTTGTTTTGGCTCATTTTTGGACATTTTAGCACCGAGAGACGAGTTCAAAGACAATCTGCCTCAAAAACCTGAATCTGAATAAATTAGTTTGTAGAAAAGTTTAAATTTGAGATAAAAAAAACCTGATTTTCCTGGAATCCTACAACCTGATTTATTCTCATATGTGATAAATTCTCAATAAAAAATCTTTGTGCTTTTTGTTTTACATCATTTTTATAAAATTTTTCTCCTAAACACGTAAAATTTTAAAGAATTAATCAGATTATTTTATGTTCTCAGAGTTAAACAGTTTGTGCTTCATGGTTTTAACAAACTTTGACATTTTAGTGCCTGTTTGAACGATTTGAAGCAGAATTTGTGCTTTAATGTGATTTCTTGTGTTTTATTTGTGGTTTAAATCGACTCTCGCTGCTGTTTTCTCCTCATTTGTGCTTTAAAATGTGACTTTTTTTTAAAGTTTCAACCATTTAGCAGCAGAGACGAGTTTTTACTGAGCTACAGTCGGTTTGTGCTTCATGAGGAGGTCCAATCTGAGAGCTGAACGTTCACGTCGACTCGTTCGCTGCTCTTCTGTCTTTCATTGGTTCTGACTTTAAAACACTTTTTTCTCTTTTCCGCCTTCAGACAGAAACTCTTTCTTCTCCGTGGACGTCTTAAAGTCTTGATCGATGCACGTCTACGTTTCCACGGACAACCGACTCGATTCTGTTTCGTCTCGTTAATCTTCTGTCGAGTCTTTTCTCGTTAATATTTCCATGAAACGAGCTCTGGAGCCTCTGAACTCTCTGATGAGCTGCGTTCAGGACCAACCACAGTTTGTCCTCGTGGTGCGTTCACTGTCGCTCCGTTTGATTCTTACTCTGAGTCTGGTTTCGCTTCAGTTTGTTCCAGTTTGTGTCTTCTGGCGTTGTGCAGAACAGAACCTCTTCCCGCCGCCCACAGACTCAGTTCGTGGGCGTCTGCAGCAGAAATGTGACTCCAGGTGTCGACCTGAGCAGGTTTCCTCTTCGTCTGCGTCTCTGCAGCTTCAGCCGGTTTTAACGATGAGGAATGAGTCAGATGTCGACGAGCTTTAGTCGCTTAAACAGAAATAAGTCGGTTTGTTGGAGATTCACGGGTCAGATGGCCACAGAAAAGCAGGAAAAGGAGATTTTGTAAATGTGCTGACGGATAAAACGTCGTTAATTCAAAGTGCAGGTTTAAAACAGATGCAGCTGAAAAGAAAAGGCCAGAACGCCGTGATGCTGATGGATAGGTTGTCCAAGAACGATGAATTAAACAACATGAAGGTTTTAACATGACTCAGCGTCCGTCCGTCCGTTGGAGGTTTGCAGCTGAAGCAGGAAGAAGCAGATTTATCAGCCAATCACGTCACAGATCTGGTTTTTCTCGCTTGGTTTCCAGTTAGTTTGATTTTTTTCTCTTCTAGTGAAGCATAAAAGTCGACGTTTTATTAAGTAACGCAGCTAAATGACCACAGACGGTGAGAACAGGAGACTTCTGGGCCTGAAGGATGTGAGCTCATGACCACAGTGTTCTGTTGGTCCTGGAGCTCCTGATGAAACACCAGAACCACTGAAGAACGAGACGACGAGCTTCAGGGGAGGATGAAGCAGGAAATGTGACGCTTCAGGCTGTTTTCTGACATCAGCAGCTGATTCCTGACAGACGACGTAGAGGGAATCAGAAACCTGCAGGACGGCGGGGGGCAGATGTTCTGGTGAAGGTTCAGGTCCAGTGTCCCAGAAACACAAACGCTCACAACAAAAAGCAGCAAAATCCTCAAAGAAATCTCTGAACCTGGACTCCAGGCGTCGTCCCGTCCTGTCCAGGGGTCCAGGTGGTCCAGGTGGTCC